CACATTCTTGAAGTCATTTACTGTGTTAGTGCAACAATGATATTTCATATTTTGTAGATAATATACTGAGTTAATGTGATATTTTCACATTGTAGAATTCCTCTACTGTGCTAATATAACTCGAAGGCTTATCGCTACATACGGGCACAGTGTAGGAAAGATGCATGCGTTCGATGATGTTCTAGAAAATAGAAATACTTCCTTTGTTCTTATAGCCCGAAATACCTGTTATCTTGAAAATGAAATATTTATAATTAATAGAATTTAATTAACATTTTTTTTCTTGCGTTACTCATCGATCACGTGCCTAAATACGTGGCGCAGAACGAGTTGACACTGTTGTTATTTGTTTTTCTATAAGCTTATTATTTTGTGTATGATATATTGTGCTTTTGTTTAAAACCTGAGATTAGTATATTGCAGATCAAAATGGCTATCCGCTGAAATATTTATAACTAAACGAAAATAACCCATACCTACACGTATATATATATATATATATATATATATATATATATAAATATATATATATATATATATATATATATATATATATATATATATATATATATATATATATATATATATATAAAGTAAAGTTTTCCTTTCAAACCTGACTGTCTATTGGGCAAGTGAAGTAGAGTTCACTTGTTTCTGTGACCTCGGCATATGAAGGGATCATGTGGTCACCACTATGCCCAGCCGCCTTTACTTTCCCTAACGTGAGTAAGTTACCCATCAGAGTTTGACTCAGGGACGGTGTACTGACTTGAACCCGGATTCGAACTTGAGACTTACGGGCTAGCAGTCCAGCTCTCTACCGCTAAACCACTCCGTCCCTTATATATATATATATATAGCCTCCGCCTAATCAGCCAACCAACCTCCCCCTACCCAGCCCACCAGCCCCACCCTACCCAGCCCACCAGCCCCACCCTACCCAGCCCACCAGCCATACCCTACCCAGCCCACCAGCACCACCCTACCCAGCCCACCAGCACCACCCTACCCAGCCCACCAGCCTCACCCTACCAAGCCAACTACCATAGCCTCAACCTACCTAGCCCACCACCCTAACCCTATTAAGCCCATTATAGCCTCACCATAATCTCCCCCTCCAGCCAGACAACGTACCCAGCCCACCAACCTCGCCCTGTCCAACCAAGTCTAACCCTACCCAGCCCCCTCCCCCCTTACAACGTACCCAGCCCACCAACCTCGCCCTGTCCAACCAAGTCTAACCCTACCCAGCCCCCTCCCCCCTTACAACGTACCCAGCCCACCAACCTCGCCCTGTCCAACCAAGTCTAACCCTACCCAGCCCCCAGCCCCATAGCCCCCTTACAACGTACCCAGCCCACCAACCTCGCCCTACCCAATCACACATCAACAACCTTGCCGACATATTCCCCCTCTACGTGTCTAAATATCACCCACGTATCAACATCCAACCAATGAAAACAAATCTCTCAACACTGACTGCCCTGGCTAAACATAAGTTATAAGCAAAAAATATAGAATCTAATTTCTCAAACCCGCATTTCATCCTTCGGGTACTTCTATAGTCAACACAAGCCATTATTGGATCAAAGGCTTTAAAACAGCTCAACCTTGTTAGTAATTAACTTTTCTAAACTAATTGAAATTGGAATCACATGGATTGTGTGATACAACATGTGTTGGGTTTTAGAGGCTTATGTATGTATTCATCGTATTTTCTATTAATAGCATATAGCTTGTAATGCGGGACTTTACTTTGTTATGGTGTATCTTTTTGAATTCGACTAGCTAATGAATTCTATATAATTGAAGGAATTTAATTTAAGTGTACTCTGATATGCCTTACATATTGCTTATTACTCAACACCATTTCATGTAATGATTGTATCAACATTCGTTGTAGGAATATACTTTAGCAGTATTATGAAAATGCAAGATACGTTTTACATTAAAGTTGTAACACTGAAATCATGAAAATCAGGTCAACGATTTTTATAAACTAAAACATGATAAAAAGCTTTTGACATTTGAAAAGGAGACTTTGGAAGTTTTTAAATCTTGTTTTTGCAAGAAATATTTTTAAAAACTTTTTTTTAGCGAAATGGAAATTTTGTTTATAGACAAATATGCATAGTTGTTCCTTAAGCTGTTGTTCTCCTACACTGTTTCTTCCAGACTTTTTTCTCCGGGGGGGGGGGGGGGAGGGGGCGCTCCCCGAAGAGATACCTGGAAGAAACTCTGTTCTCCTAGCGGAAGCTTTAAAAAAGAGAGAAGCTTTGGTTGGTTGGTTTATTTTTAAAAAAAAAATTCTGTAAGATGCGTGATGCTATTTTACAATTGTATAGGATTTTAGGATTGTCTTACATTTTAAAGGTTTCTGACTGTAGTTGTAGGATTGTCTCATATATAAGTTGTATAATTGTCTCACTTTAATGAACGGTTTTAACGGTGGTTGTAGGGCTTTCTCGCATATTAGATGTAGAGTAGTCTCACTTTGATGAACGGTTTTAATGGTGGTTGTAGGGCTGTCTCACATATTAGATGTAGAGTAGTCTCACTTTGATGAACGGTTTTAACGGTGGTTGTAGGGCTGTCTCGCATATTAGATGTAGAGTAGTCTCACTTTGATGAACGGTTTTAACGGTGGTTGTAGGGCTGTCTCGCATATTAGATGTAGAGTAGTCTCACTTTGATGAACGGTTTTAACGGTGGTTGTAGGGCTGTCTCGAATATTAGATGTAGAGTAGTCTCACTTAAACAACGGGTTTAACGGTGGTTGTAGGATTGTTTAACTTTTAACAGCTTTTAGCTGCGGTTGTAGAATTGTCTCTCTGTTAAAGTTTTCGACGGTTGGTGTACTACTGTCTACCTTATTTTTCGATTGTAACATTTTGTATGCGTACTTGTAAGGATAGTATCTGGGTAGGGTGGGGCTGGTGGGCTAGGTATGGTAAGGCTGGTGGGCTGGGTACGTTATCTGGGGGGGCTGGGGGGGGGGCTGAGTAGGGTTAGACTTGGTTGGGTAAGGCGAGGTTTGTGGGCTGGGGGGGGGGGGGGGGGGGTGGGCTGGTTATGGTGAGGTTTGGGGGCTAGGTAGGGTAGGGCGAGGCTGGTGGGCTGGATAGGGTGGGGCTGGTGGGCTGGGTAGGGTGGGGCTGGTGGGCTGGGTAGGGTGGGGCTGGTGGGCTGGGTAGGGTGGGGCTGGTGGGCTGGGTAGGGTGGGGCTGGTGGGCTGGGTAGGGTGGGGCTGGTGGGCTGGGTAGGGTGGGGCTGGTGGGCTGGGTAGGGTGGGGCTGGTGGGCTGGGTAGGGTGGGGCTGGTGGGCTGGGTAGGGTGAGGCTATGGTGGTTGGTTGGGTAGGGCGGGGCTGGTGGGCTGGGTAGGGCGGGGCTGGTGGGCTGGGTAGGGTGGGGCTGGTGGGCTGGGTAGGGTGGGGCTGGTGGGCTGGATAGGGCGGGGCTGGTGGGCTGGGTAGGGCGGGGCTGGTGGGCTGGGTAGGGCGGGGCTGGTGGGCTGGGTAGGGCGGGGCTGGTGGGCTGGGTAGGGTGGGGCTGGTGGGCTGGATAGGGCGGGGCTGGTGGGCTGGGTAGGGCGGGGCTGGTGGGCTGGGTAGGGCGGGGCTGGTGGGCTGGGTAGGGCGGGGCTGGTGGGCTGGGTAGGGTGGGGCTGGTGGGCTGGGTAGGGTGGGGCTGGTGGGCTGGATAGGGTGGGGCTGGTGGGCTGGGTAGGGTGGGGCTGGTGGGCTGGGTAGGGTGAGGCTATGGTGGTTGGTTGGGTAGGGCGGGGCTGGTGGGCTGGGTAGGGCGGGGCTGGTGGGCTGGGTAGGGCGGGGCTGGTGGGCTGGGTAGGGTGGGGCTGGTGGGCTGGGTAGGGTGGGGCTGGTGGGCTGGATAGGGCGGGGCTGGTGGGCTGGGTAGGGCGGGGCTGGTGGGCTGGGTAGGGCGGGGCTGGTGGGCTGGGTAGGGTGGGGCTGGTGGGCTGGATAGGGCGGGGCTGGTGGGCTGGGTAGGGCGGGGCTGGTGGGCTGGGTAGGGCGGGGCTGGTGGGCTGGGTAGGGCGGGGCTGGTGGGCTGGGTAGGGTGGGGCTGGTGGGCTGGGTAGGGTGGGGCTGGTGGGCTGGATAGGGTGGGGCTGGTGGGCTGGGTAGGGTGGGGCTGGTGGGCTGGGTAGGGTGAGGCTATGGTGGTTGGTTGGGTAGGGCGGGGATGGTGGGCTGGGTAGGGCGGGGCTGGTGGGCTGGGTAGGGCGGGGCTGGTGGGCTGGGTAGGGTGGGGCTGGTGGGCTGGGTAGGGTGGGGCTGGTGGGCTGGATAGGGCGGGGCTGGTGGGCTGGGTAGGGCGGGGCTGGTGGGCTGGGTAGGGCGGGGCTGGTGGGCTGGGTAGGGTGGGGCTGGTGGGCTGGGTAGGGTGGGGCTGGTGGGCTGGATAGGGCGGGGCTGGTGGGCTGGGTAGGGCGGGGCTGGTGGGCTGGGTAGGGCGGGGCTGGTGGGCTGGGTAGGGTGGGGCTGGTGGGCTGGGTAGGGTGGGGCTGGTGGGCTGGGTAGGGTGGGGCTGGTGGGCTGGGTAGGGTGGGGCTGGTGGGCTGGGTAGGGTGAGGCTATGGTGGTTGGTTGGGTAGGGTGGTGCTGGTGGGCTGGGTAGGGCGGGGCTGGTGGGCACGGTAGGCGGGGCTGGTGGGCTGGGTAGGGCGGGGCTGGTGGGCTGGATAGGGTGGGGCTGGTGGGCTGGATAGGGCGGGGCTGGTGGGCTGGGTAGGGTGGGGCTGGTGGGCTGGGTAGGGTGGGGCTGGTGGGCTGGGTAGGGTGAGGCTATGGTGGTTGGTTGGGTAAGGTGGGGCTGGTGGGCTGGGTAGGGCGAAGATATTGGTTGGATATTTAGGGTAAAGTCGTAATTGCGTAATTAAAGCGAACCAGTATGAAAACAGTATATTCTAAATTTTAAAGAGGCATTTTAGAAGTCTAGACATAACACATGCAACCGACAACTATTTTATCTCCCTTTGTTGCTAGGCTACATTAATTCGCCAAGCTAGTTCATTCTATTGGCTATTTGATCTTTGCATAAACTCCTCCCAATGCGCATGTGCAAAAGCCACATAAAACGAGAGACATCCGCTATCATACAGCAGAGAGCGGTACTTTTCAGGTGAACATAGCACCAACACGGTAACAGAACATTAGGTAAGTATTCACAATTGTATTTTTAAGCAGCTTAATTGGACTACTATACAAGTTTTCTTTAAAAATTATGACGCTATAATTGTTGATTCAGAGAATCCGTCTTTTTTTAATTTTTATTATATTTTTAAATTTAAAGTTACGATAAGACTTAAATAAACTTACGATTTCCTAAAAAAATGTTAAGCAAGAAATCAATCCAGTTTGCATTGCTTAGGGATGCAATAAATCTTTTTTATTAATTGTTTAATTTAATTTTTAAATTAGAAACATAAATTAATCATTGTCTGTACGATTCATCACTTTAATTTTGCTCAACATACCCAAATCAGCTTTTCTATACCAAGAATATAAATCTATATATATAATTCCCTTCTGGGAGCCGCTAGAAAACAAGCTGCAAACGCGCCTAGAAAACAAGCAGTAAACGCGCTCCCTACCTCCCCACCCCTACATGGTTTTAGTGAGCTGTGTTCACTCTAAATGTTTACAAGCAGAGCCAACGATTTTAAACGTAGGGGGGGGGGGGAAGGGGGGAAGGAAGGCTGGTTATGGTCCTTAACGAGCTACTTATAGTGTTTGAAAAAAATATTTTCAGTGGCAGCGTTGGTATTGTCGAAGTCACAAATTATGAATTACTGAAAAGTAGAAAAAAACAACAACTAAATAGCGGCGTATGTTATGCCGCGGGCCGGCTCGTACTCTATAACACCAATAAGAAAACTCAAAGACACAAATAGATGATGATGCAACCAATAGCTAAACTAATACACACATAAATGATGATACAACCAATAGCTAAACTAATACACACATAAATGATGATACAACAAGTAGCTAAACTAAGAGACACAATAGATGATGATACAATCAATAGGGGTAATCCATAAATGACGTCACGCTTTTTTACGATTTTTACCTCCCCTCTCCCTACCCCCCCCCCCCCCCCCGTTACACATCGTCACAAAAAACAAGATTCCCCTAAAATGACGTCACACCTCAGCCTACAACCCTCCTCAAAATTGCAGTTGAATTTTTCTTAAAAAATCTTGTCTGAACTCATTTTGATCAATTCCAATAACAATGTATTAAAATTGTTTCCTAAAACGCGAAATAACGGCTAAAACTCATTTTTCTAACATTGCTTTTTTTATAATGCAAAAGTGTGACGTCACACCTTCTGAACACCCCCCCTCATCACACACCGTCACGAAATTACCGACCCCCCTCCCCCTCGAGTGTGACGTCATTTATGGACGACCCCATAGCTAAACTAATAGACACACATAAATGATGCCACTTACAGTAAAAATCATCAATAACCTTGACGGTGTAGCGTGCTAGGTTTGGTGCGCGGACCTTTGACCACAGGTGCTTTGACCATAGGGGTTTGACCATAGGGGGTTTGACCATAGGGGGTTTGACCATAGGTGGTTTGACCATAGGGGGTTTGACCATAGGTGGTTTGACCATAGGGGGTTTGACCACAGGTGTTTTCTCAGCAGAGGGTGTATGATCACAGGTGGTTTGTCACAGGGTGTTTGATCAAGCGCTGTTCAGATATATGGTCAAACAGATGTACTGACATATGGTCAAACAGATGTACAGACATATGGTCAAACAGATGTACAGACATATGGCAAAACAGATGTACTGACATAATGGTCAAACAGATGTACTGACATAATGGTCAAACAGATGTACTGACATAATGGTCAAACAGATGTACTGACATAATGGTCAAACAGATGTACTGACATAATGGTCAAACAGATGTACTGACATAATGGTCAAACAGATGTACTGACATAATGGTCAAACAGATGTACTGACATAATGGTCAAACAGATGTACTGACATAATGGTCAAACAGATGTACTGACATAATGGTCAACAGATTTACTGACATAATGGTCAAACAGATGTACTGACATATGGTCAAACAGATGTACTGACATTTGGTCAAACAGATGTACTGACATATGGTCAAACAGATGTACTGACATGTGGTCAAACAAATGTACTGACATTTGGTCAAACAGATGTACTGACATAATGGTCAAACAGATGTACTGACATATGGTCAAACAGATGTACTGACATAATGGTCAAACAGATGTACTGACATATGGTCAAACAGATGTACTGACATGTGGTCAAACAAATGTACTGACATTTGGTCAAACAGATGTACTGACATAATGGTCAAAAAGATGTACTGACATAATGGTCAAACAGATATACTAACATATGGCCAAACAGATGTACTGACATGTGGTCAAACAGATGTACTGACATAATGGTCAAACAGATGTACTGACATATGGTCAAACAGATGTACTGACATATAGTCAAACAGATGTACAGACATAATTGCGTGCTATAGCACATCTGTCATTTAGTTAGCCATTAAAGTATTACTTTTTTTGACTATACTGTTGGCATGTTTTTTTAAATCATATTTTATCCTTTATATATGCTATGTATTTTCAAGTATATCTACATTATATCGTATTTTTTGTGTTCCATTTATATTTAAATTAAATCTTTGAGGCCTAGCACCAGCCTTTGTGATGAGACTTTTGTTTTAGTACATGCTAATTTTTATTAATGGACTCTCAGGAAACATGTATAAAATCGTATTAAGTGTATTATAAATTTAAATCAAAACTCAGTTCATAATTTCTATTTTAAAATCTATATATTATGTTTAACCCCTCTCTGTGGTCAAACCCCCTATGGTCAAAACACCTATGGTCAAATCACCTAGGACCCTAGTTTTGTGTCAGAGAGCGACATTTGTTGATTTGACTGCAGACATTGTGCTGCCCAGTTTAGGGAGGGCGTGGTCGGGCGGAAGAGCACACTGGCTAGGGCAAAGATTATAGAAGCCAACCCAGAAAGAACAGCAACGTGATCTTTGAATCAACAGAACAAAAATCTTATAACCTGTTGACACGTAATGCTTAATTGCCTTGGAGTACATCCCATCCAATATTAAAAATTAGAACGATGAAGTAGTCCGACCCAGGTTATATTATTTTTATCACAAATATTTTGTATACAGAAATAATGCAATGCTCTAGATCGTACCAGCTTTCGAATGAAATCTTAGATGAGATCAGCTACGTAATGACCTATAAAAGGAAATTTCCGTTTGGACTGAACAATCATTAATTCTCGTCATATTGGTTTTAGCATTTTGATCCAGGGTCCCATATCGTCACGCTTCATCACGCAAATTCAGAGATCTCCATAAATAGTATCACACCCTCCCCCCCCCCTTTCCTTCTTTAAAAGAAACCTTATTAAAAATCGCAATATTTTTCTTGAAAATACATTATTTATATCACGTCATAATCCGCGAATACCCTACCCAGACGGTCACTTGAGTCTGAATCCCAACCCTCCCCCCTTCCCCGTTCTAGGAGTGCTACGTCAAAAACAATTATGATGAAATGTTGCTAAGTATACAGACTGATACATAGGCCTACAGACTGATAAGACATTGGTGTAATGTTTTTAAAATTCTATTTCCCCAGATCATGCGATTCCAACTTGCCAGTGGTGTTGGCGTCTGTCTGGTTTTAGCCTGCGTGGTATTGGTACAGTCGAGATATCATGAGGACCCGGCAGAGACCGATGTAGCCAAACGTGACGACACGGCGTCCTCACCCCCGGCAGCTAAACGTGACGACACGGCGTCCTCCCCTCCGGCTGCAGCTAAACGTGACGACACGGCGTCCTCCCCTCCGGCAGCCAAACGTGACGACACGGCGTCCTCACCCCCGGCAGCTAAACGTGACGACACGGCGTCCTCCCCTCCGGCTGCAGCTAAACGTGACGACACGGCGTCCTCCCCTCCGGCAGCTAAACGTGACGACACGGCGTCCTCACCCCCGGCAGCCAAACGTGACGACACGGCGTCCCCTCCCCCGGCAGCTAAACGTGACGACACGGCGTCCTCCCCTCCGGCAGCCAAACGTGACGACACGGCGTCCTCTCCCCCGGCAGCCAAACGTGACGACACGGCGTCCTCCCCTCCGGCTGCAGCTAAACGTGACGACACGGCGTCCTCCCCTCCGGCAGCCAAACGTGACGACACGGCGTCCTCACCCCCGGCAGCCAAACGTGACGACACGGCGTCCTCCCCTCCGGCAGCCAAACGTGATGACGCGGCGTCCTCCCCTCCGGCAGCCAAACGGGATGACGACGGGATTAAGCTCAGTCAGCTTATCAAAAGGAGTTATTCTGACGAGGCTTCAGATACAGATGCCGATGAAGCTTCCGAAACAGATGCAGAGGATCCCGCAGACACCAATCCCGAGGAACCCGAAGACGCTAATCCCGAGGAACCCGAAGACGCCAATCCCGAGGATCCCGAAGACGCTAATCCCGAGGAACCCACAGACACCAATCCCGATGAACAAACACAAGTTGACCCGGATGAACCTAATAATGTTGACCAGGATCAAGATCAGCCTGCTCCCCCATCAAAACATTCAAAGGGTGAAAAGCCTTCTAAAGACAAGAAGGAAGGCCTGATGGATAAGGTGCTGCAAATAGTGAAAGCAGGCATAGAAAGCGGCATGAAGGAGCTAGGAAAATCCTATGAAAATGTGAAGAAGCTGGTTACTGAAACGATGAAAGGGATCACAGAGCAACTAGTTGGTGGGAAGAAAAAATGATTCAACTACTTCTGTTGGACCTGATGTAGTTATTTATGTTTGAAAAATTAAATTGAAAGAAATTAAATTCTTATATCTGATGCTTTATTTTCCTGAATTAAACTAGGCTAATCGTATAAACGTTACGGGTCGAGTCGGTAAAGCTCATGGTTGCTAATCCGAAAAGTCTCGAGCTCGAACCCAACACTCGGGCAGATGAGGCTTGACAGCAACTATACTGGGACAGACAACTCTCAAATCAAACAACTGAAGATTGTTCTTGGTCGAACAATGGCTTTTGAGGCAAATCCAAAAAGAAAAGCAGGCCGAAAGTAGAGTCAACGACCTCTATGGTGCATAGCCAGTTGACACGTAATACTTAATTGTGTTAGAGGGAATCCCTCTACCACTAGAATTAAGAACGAAGTAGAAAGAAGTATGAACTTTTTTTCACAATAAATGAAGAGTGTACCTTGTTGGTTTATATCGCGGTTAAGGAAAGTAATGCCACTCTTTAGGTGTTGTTAAAAATATTGCCTAACAGTTTTTGTCGAATATTACAAACACAGCGCAATCATTGCCGATAAAAATAATTTGTCTTTCGTACAATCACTAAAGTTTGTATAGAACACATAAACAATACAGTGAGGTTCAGGAATAGTGCATCTCCATCGTTAATATTGATATATCACTAACCCTAATCGCAGTCATAATTCTAACCCTATATATATAATAATACACTACTATTTAAAAAACTCTATAGAAAGGAGGTGGGCTTAGTATGGAGAGGGTTATGGAAGTGGGCTGGGTAGGGTAAGGTTATGGAGGTGGGCTGGGTAGGGTAAGGTTATAGAGGTGGGCTGGGTAGGGTAAGGTTATGGAGGTGGGCTAGGTAGGGTAAGGTTATGGAGGTGGGCTGGGTAGGGTAAGGTTATGGAGGTGGGCTGGGTAGGGTTAGGATATAGTGGGCTGGGTAGGGTAAGGTTATGGAGATGGGCTGGGTAGGACGAGTTTATGGAGGTGGGCTGGGTAGGGTTAGGATATAGTGGGCTGGGTAGGGTAAGGTTATGGAGGTGGGCTGGGTAGGGTTAGGTTATGGAGGTGGGCTGGGTAGGGTAAGGTTATGGAGGTGGGCTGGGTAGGGTTAGGTTATAGTGGGCTGGGTAGGGTAAGGTTATGGAGGTGGGCTGGGTAGGGTAAGGTTATGGAGGTGGGCTGGGTAGGGTTAGGATATAGTGGGCTGGGTAGGGTAAGGTTATGGAGGTGGGCTGGGTAGGGTAATGTTATGGAGGTGGGCTGGGTAGGGTTAGGATATAGTGGGCTGGGTAGGACGAGTTTATGGAGGTGGGCTGGGTAGGGTAAGGTTATGGAGGTGGGCTGGGTAGGGTTAGGTTATAGTGGGCTGGGTAGGGTAAGGTTATGGAGGTGGGCTGGGTAGGGTAAGGTTATGGAGGTGGGCTGGGTAGGGTTAGGATATAGTGGGCTGGGTAGGGTAAGGTTATGGAGGTGGGCTGGGTAGGGTAAGGTTATGGAGGTGGGCTGGGTAGGGTTAGGTTATAGTGGGCTGGGTAGGGTAAGGTTATGGAGGTGGGCTGGGTAGGGTTAGGTTATAGTGGGCTGGGTAGGGTAAGGTTATGGAGGTGGGCTGGGTAGGGTTAGGATATAGTGGTAGGGTAGGGTTAGGATATAGTGGGCTGGGATGGGTAAGGTTATGGAGGTGGGCTGGGTAGGACGAGTTTATGGAGGTGGGCTGGGTAGGGTTAGGTTATAGTGGGCTGGGTAGGTTTTGTTTATATCTTTGTTTCTTGGGGGCTGGGGTGATACCACGAAGTGCCGCACCTGTAGACACGACGAAATAGCGACGCCACTGACTATAGACACAGACGTTTACAAGGAAGCCACGTACAAACCTTGACAGACGGCCATATTGTTGAGTCTATTATTAGTAGAGGATACTCTGCGTCCAAAGAGTAGTTAATCTTCTAGCGAAATAGACGGGGGGGGGGGTTGTGCACGTACTTGTGTGTGTGAGCGGGTGTGAGTGCGTGTGTGAGCGTGTTTGTGATTGTTCGTGTTTGTGAGTGTGTGTGTGTGTGAGCGTGTTTGTGTTTGTGAGTGTTTGTGAGTGTTTGTGAGTGTTTGTGTGTGAGAGCGTGTTTGCGTTTTTCGTGTTTGTGAGTGTGTGTGTGAGCGTGTTTGTATTTGTTCGTGTTTGTGAGTGTGTGTGTATGTGAGCGGGTGTGTGCGTTTGATCGTGTTTGTGAGTGTGTGTGTGTGTGTGTGTGAGCGTGTTTGCGTTTGTTCGTGTTTGAGAGTGTGAAACATGGAATACGACCAAGATTCTAACTTTTCAATGAACAGTGTTTGTTGAGTGAATCTTTCGTCCAAGTAATGTTTTCCATTCGAACCTGCTTAAAGCAATTGAAGTAGAGTCCCCTGTTTCTGGAATCTAGGAATATATCGGGTTAGCGTCGTCAGTAGTTTGATTAAAGGCTTTAATCTCCCATAAGGAAAGTAAGGCACTCTTCAAAAACTGGTGGACTCTGGGATGTATTATTGACTTAAATCCGGGAAACGAACTCTTGACTTCTGTTTCAGCATTCATACGCCCTACCATCTGACCACCCGTCCAACGCACCTTGTTTTGATTTCATTAAAAACATTTTAAAAAGTACAAGAATGAAATTCAAGACATAATTGATCCCTGTATGTCATTCTAATTTAAAGTAAAGAATCCTGTTTAAACCTAGAGATCAATAGGGCAGATGAAGTAGAGTCGATATGTTTCTTGACCTCGGTAGACGATGGGTAGGTGTGGTCAGTCTTTGGGGTCATAAACTTGTTTTTTAAACTTATACATACATCCAGCACAAGGTACAATATAGTGCTAATAGAACATGATAAAAACAACAACCGGGAAATTAAGACGCTAATAAATTTAAGACGTGAACATTAAAAAGTTTTAAGATATTTATTCATCCAAGAGTTAGTATCTTGATCACGTTGGTGTGGTCACGTCAACGTGAATGGATCAGCCTCTAGGAAGGCGTTAAATGATCGACTACTGTATTTGCCACGGACTTGGCAGTTTTGACAATTTCATTTTTAACATTGTTATATCCAGTCTTTAAAATGTTTTTTACATTACCCCAAAGACCTGGTGCCTTTGTTGTAGAGCTGGGGCTTGTCGCGTCTCCTCTTACTTCTGTTGGGTTCGCAACTTCTTCGTGTTCGACAGCTGGCTCCGGGTCCTCCCTCCTTGCGATTGCTTCATCGTTGACGTCGTTCCTTGTTTCATACGTCACTTTGTCCATCCCCGCCCGAGCACTCCCATCGTCCCTTAATACCAAACCAGCGGCGTCATCTTCTACAGGAGGCATTGACTCAACAAGTACCAAACAGACTACAACCAGGCAGACGACACTAAGTTGAAATCCCATGACGTCTGCTTATAAAGAGAATTTTTTAAAATTATGTATTACATCAATTTAGGTTACTTGGTATATATTTTATAAATGTGAACGCTTTTAATTCGTAAAGAGAATTTAAAAACAAATTATTTATTACATCAATTTAGGTTACTTGGTATATATTTTATAAATGTGAACGCATTTAATTCGTAAAGATCTTTTTTTTAAAATTATGTATTACATCATTTTAGGTTACTTTGTATATATTTTATAAATGTGAACGCATTTAATTCGTAAAGAGATTTTTTTAAAATTATGTATCACATCAATTTAGGTTACTTGGTATATATTTTATAAATGTGAACGCTTTTAATTCGTAAAGAGAATTTAAAAACAAATTATTTATTACATCAATTTAGGTTACTTGGTATATATTTTATAAATGTGAACGCATTTAATTCGTAAAGATCTTTTTTTTTAAATTATGTATTACATCATTTTAGGTTATTTTGTATATATTTTATAAATGTGAACGCATTTAATTCGTAAAGAGATTTTTTTTAAATTATGTATCACATCAATTTAGGTTACTTGGTATATATTTTATAAATGTGAACGCTTTTAATTCGTAAAGAGAATTTAAAAACAAATTATTTATTACATCAATTTAGGTTACTTGGTATATATTTTATAAATGTGAACGCATTTAATTCCTAAAGATCTTTTTTTTTTAAATTATGTATTACATCATTTTAGGTTATTTTGTATATATTTTATAAATGTGAACGCATTTAATTCGTAAAGAGATTTTTTAAAAATTATGTATCACATCAATTTAGGTTACTTGGTATATATTTTATAAATGTGAACGCATTTAATTCGTAAAGATCTTTTTTTAAAATTATGTATTACATCATTTTAGGTTACTTTGTATATATTTTATAAATGTGAACGCATTTAATTCGTAAAGAGATTTTTTTAAAATTATGTATCACATCAATTTAGGTTACTTGGTATATATTTTATAAATGTGAACGCTTTTAATTCGTAAAGAGAATTTAAAAACAAATTATTTATTACATCAATTTAGGTTACTTGGTATATATTTTATAAATGTGAACGCATTTAATTCGTAAAGATCTTTTTTTTTAAATTATGTATTACATCATTTTAGGTTATTTTGTATATATTTTATAAATGTGAACGCATTTAATTCGTAAAGAGATTTTTTAAAAATTATGTATCACATCAATTTAGGTTACTTGGTATATATTTTATAAATGTGAACGCTTTTAATTCGTAAAGAGAATTTAAAAACAAATTATTTATTACATCAATTTAGGTTACTTGGTATATATTTTATAAATGTGAACGCATTTAATTCGTAAAGATCTTTTTTTAAAATTATGTATTACATCATTTTAGGTTACTTTGTATTTATTTTATAAATGTGAACGCATTTAATTCAAAATTTAAAAATGTAATGAAAATATCGATAAAAAAATTGGAGGAGAAAACAAAATTTTGGTACGCTGTACAATATGAAATCGTGTGTATTCAGCGTGCTGTCTGTACATATAAGCGACTTAATATGGGACTGTTAACAATATTAGCAAACACAATTTGTGTGGCATCCACAATATGTTACGATGGGCTACAATAATCTTTCACTAAATGGAATAAGGCTTGTTCTCCGGTGTCACGGTAGAGTGCACTTTGGCACCCCGGGATCCCATGTAAGCATTATTGTGCCTATATTTGTTTTAAAGCGCACTCTACAATAGGGACACGGTGGCACACGACATTCAATGATTAAGCTTTACCAGGGCGGTACCCGTGGCCCCTGAGGTAGAGTAACTTGTGGTTCCCCAGAATGCCCCGCGACGCCCTTGACACCAGGTTGGTTGCCGAGATGTTCTACTTTATTAATACGGAGCGGGGAGCTTTCATACAAGAAATACCGCGCCTGTTTACATTTAAAATAACTCGGTTTTAGAAAACAAGATCACGCGTCTAAACACAACGTTTGGTACCCTAGTAATGCAATTCTCTGAACATATTACGTAAGCCTTTTTTCTGAGACCGCTGCAACGCGCATGACACTAACGCTACTATCTAATTAATTAAAGCGGAAGTGAGCCCCATAAACGTTATATTTTTATTTAAGAGTCAGGGTTGAGATTGCACTATAGAAATGGTAGGTATTCGATATAAATTTATCGAATTCTGAAAGTGTTTAAGACATCGGAAAAGTAGTAAAGTTTCCCTTTCGGTTACTGCAAATCTCAGAGTCTCCTTATGCAATCTAAAACTTTTTTAAAGTATAGATTTTTATATTATATTTAGTAAAATTTTGTGTACCTCACTAAAAAGGTATAATTTTTCTTCCCCCAGTGAATAGAGTAAGTTAGGCCGCTTACTTCTTTCGTTCACCAGAAATCGCGTTGAGAAACCTATGTGTACGATCTCTCACGAATATGTGAAATTTCGTCCACGTCACTGCAACACACTCTAATTTTCGTGTTCATACACACACATACACACAGACAGCCAGACAAAGATGCTTTTTTGGGTGTTTTTTCCCCGACTTAGTATGGTGTAAAACGTTACCTAACTCACGATTGAAATATTACAACACCCCCCCCCCTCCCCCGTACTCTTTTTACGATCAAGTAAAAAAAAAGTTACTAAGAATTGTAAGCAATTTGTAAGCATATCAAAAAATAACTTTAAACAGTTCTCGCATTTAAACGAAACGAAAACAACATTTACATTTCTGATTATACTTTGGTCTAACTACTTACAAATAGCTTGAAACATACATACCTAATCCTAGGTTACTTGTTGGCGTTTTAGAAAGCTGCAACCTTGCTGCGTTTTGGTGTTGTTTAAAAATAAACAACAGTTGCATCCCTTTTTATTCAAATGAATCAATCACGCAAATAAACGAGATATTAGAATTGGCGAACTAGGTTTGATCAGGTATAGGGCGTCGCCGACTAGGAAGGTATCCTATAGGTTTGGGCGATGGGAGAATCCTAATTTGGTGATGTTGTGTTCTGCATAAAGCTAACACTTCAGCGTTTCTTCATTCTGGTGTCTGTTTTACCACTGGTCTTATTTTATTCTCTATGGTTGTAATGCTGAAGGGGGGTAAACTTCAACGAAATAAATTCTCACGTGTCAATAAGTTATGTGCTTTTCTTTTAAATTTTCTTCCAAATGCATTTTCCGCAAATTATCATCTGCAATGCAGCAGGATTTTTAATTTTTATTTTGGAGTTTTCTGTCCTAGATAGGTTGGTGTCCCCAGCTGACTAGCTTCATATTAGCACAAAGGTTAAAGCAACATTTAATGCTTCAGCAATGGCAAAAAGGGGCACAACTTTATTTCTATGAGTTTAATTCAAGTTTAAAGTAAAATACAGTTAAATCAATACATATAGAAGGGGTCGGCGAGGTCGAGTCGGTAAAGCTCATGGTTGCTAAACCGAAAAGTCTCGAGTGCAAACCATCGGGCAGATGAGGCTCGTTAGCTGTGGACAGCCACTCTTCTGGGAGAGACAACTCCAAAATTAAACAACTGCTGCCTTGTAGTTTGTTCTTGGTTGGACAAAGGCTATGGAAGCAAATCCAAAAAGAAAAGCAGGTTGAAATCTGAGTCAATGGCCTCAATGGCGCATAACCAGTTGACACGTAACGCTTAATTGTGTTGGAGGCGTGGTCGAGTCGGCAAAAAGCTCATGGTTGATAAATTCGAACAAAGTCTCGAGTTCAAACCCACTGGTCGATAAATCTCGATCCCCTTCAGCACTAATAATTAAGAACGAAGAAGAAGAAGAAGAATACATATAGAAATTAAAAACATACGTATAAATTGAGGGGTTGTCTATTAACTCCATGTTTATGTTTATTTATTTGTAAACGTTTGGCTTTGTATAAATTGAAATTTAAAATTCATAATTTTTTGAAGGTTCAAAGACTAAACAGAAAGTATGTCCACATTTAGTTTATGAATCCATCGGGAGTTGCTGAATTATTGTATAATTAGTACACGATTGAATGATGTCTTGACCTTGTTGTTTGTAAGATTTTTACTACTGTCAATATGAAAAATAAAAACATAAAAAAAAAAAATAAACATCGCAATAATTTTAAAATAATGTATTTTACACTATCTGATGATCGAAAATGAAACAACATTCATCCTACCATTAGCTTAAGAGCCTAAATACAAGATCAACACGAGATCAATATAAGATCAACACGAGATCAACACAAGATCAACACGAGATTAACACGAGATCAACACGAGATCAACACGAGATCAATATAAGATCAACAAGAGATCAACACGAGATCAACACAAGATCAACACGAGATCAAAACGAGATCAACACGAGATCAACACGAGATCAAAGCGAGATCAACACGAGATCAACACGAGATCAACACGAGATCAACGCCAGATCAACACGAGATCAACACGAGATCAGCATGAGATCAACACGAGATCAACACGAGATCAACACGAGATCAAAGCGAGATCAACGCCAGATCAACACGAGATCAACACGAGATCAGCATGAGATCAACACGAGATCAACACGAGATCAACACGAGATCAAAGCGAGATCAACACGAGATCAAAACGGAAATAAGAGATCAACACGAGATCAACACGAGATCAACACGAGATCAAAACGGAAATAAGAGATCAACACGAGATCAACACGAGATCAACACGAAATCAACACGAGATCAACACGAGATCAACACGAGATCAACACGAGATCAACACGAAATCAACACGAGATCAACACGAGATCAACACGAGATCAACACGAGATCAACACGAGATAAACGCGAGATCAACACGGGATCAACACGAGATCAACATGAGATCAACGCGAGATCAACACGGGATCAACACGAGATCAACATGAGATCAACACGAGATCAACACGAGATCAACACGAGATCAACACGAGATCAACACGAGATCAACGCGAGATCAAAACGGAAATAAGAGATCAACACGAGATCAACACGAGATCAACACGAGATCAACACGAGATCAACACGAGATCAAAGCGAGATCAACACGAGATCAACACGAGATCAACACGAGATCAACACGAGATCAACACGAGATCAACGCGAGATCAAAACGGAAATAAGAGATCAACACGAGATCAACACGAGATCTACACGAGTTCAATACGAGATCAACACGAGATCAACACGAGATCAACATGAGATCAACACGGAAATAAGAGATCAACACGAGATCAACACGAGATCAACATGAGATCAACACGAGATCAACACGAGATCAACACGAGATCAACACGAGATCAACACGAGATCAACATTAGATCAACACGAGATCAACACGAGATCAACACGAGATCAACACCAGATCAACACGAGATCAACACGGGATCAACACGGGATCAACACGAGATCAACACGGGATCAACACGAGATCAACACGAGATCAACACGAGATCAACACGAGATCAACACGAGATCAACACGAGATCAACACGAGATCAACACGAGATCAACACGAGATCAACACGAGATCAACATGAGATCAACACGAGATCAACACGAGATCAACACGAGATCAACACGAGATCAACACGAGATCAACACGAGATCAACACGATATCAACACGAGATCAACACGAGATCAACACGAGATCAACACGAGATCAACACGAGATCAACACGAGATCAACACGAGATCAACACGAGATCAACACGAGATCAACACGAGATCAACACGAGATCAACGCGAGATCAAAACGGAAATAAGAGATCAACACGAGATCAACACGAGATCAACACGAGATCAACACGAGATCAACACGAGATCAACACGAGATCAACGCGAGATCAAAACCGAAATAAGAGATCAACACGAGATCAACACGAGATCAACACGAGATCAACACGAGATCAACGCGAGATCAAAACGGAAATAAGAGATCAACACGAGATCAACACGAGATCTACACGAGTTCAATACGAGATCAACACGAGATCAACACGAGATCAACATGAGATCAACACGGAAATAAGAGATCAACACAAGATCAACACGAGATCAACATGAGATCAACACGAGATCAACACGAGATCAACACGAGATCAACACGAGATCAAAGCGAGATCAACACGAGATCAACGCGAGATCAAAACGGAAATAAGAGATCAACGCGAGATCAACACGAGATCAACACGAGATCAACACGAGATCAACATGAGATCAACACGAGATCAACACGAGATCAACACGAGATCAACACGAGATCAACATTAGATCAACACGAGATCAACACGAGATCAACACGAGATCAACACCAGATCAACACGAGATCAACACGGGATCAACACGGGATCAACACGAGATCAACACGGGATCAACACGAGATCAACACGAGATCAACACGAGATCAACACGAGATCAACACGAGATCAACACGAGATCAACACGAGATCAACATGAGATCAACACGAGATCAACACGGGATCAACACGGGATCAACACGAGATCAACACGGGATCAACACGAGATCAACACGAGATCAACACGAGATCAACACGAGATCAACACGAGATCAACACGAGATCAACACGAGATCAACACGAGATCAACACGAGATCAACACGAGATCAACACGAGATCAACACGAGATCAACACGAGATTAACACGAGATCAACACGAGATCAACCTAAGATCAAAGGTCGACATGGTCGGGTCGCTAGAGCTCATGGTCGAACCCCGGGTAGATGAGGCTTGATGGCTGACACAGCTACCCATGTAGGAGAGAGATCCGTAACCGACTATACTGCCACGGTATTAGTTATTAAATTTTTAAAAATTTCATGCTTTTCGATAGAGATTGCATTTATAAAATAAAATGGCTCCGCTGCTTCTTCTTTTCTTGCTAAATCAAGAATTAACATTGTACTCAGTAATGTTATTATCATGTAGAGTTTGCGGAATGGTGTCTGTTCTTGAGACTAGAACTTGACAAAGTCAGCTTCACTCCATCTAGGGCCTAGGACCTCAGCCATAATTTTCCTACTGAAATTTGACAAAGTCTATTTTACTCCATGTTGAGATGAGGATCTCAACCTTAATTTTCCTACTGAAATTTGACAAAGTCTTTTTTACTTTATGTTGAGATGAGGAACTCAACCTTAATTTTCCTACTGAAACTTGACAAAGTCTATTTTACTCCATGTTGAGATGAGGAACTCAACCTTAATTTTCCTACTGAAATTTGACAAAGTCTATTTTACTCCATGTTGAGATGAGGATCTCAACCTTAATTTTCCTACTGAAATTTGACAAAGTCTATTTTACTCCATGTTGAGATGAGGAACTCAACCTTAATTTTCTTACTCGAAATTTGACAAAGTCTATTTTACTCTATGAGGGAGTCGGCGTGGTCGAGGCGGTAAAGCCCATGGTTGCTAAACCGAAAAGTCTCGAGTTCGGACCCTCGGGCAGACGAGGCCCGTTAGTTGGGGACAGTCACTCTTCTAGGAGAGACAACTCCAAAATTAAACGACTGCTGCCTTGTAGTTTGTTCTTGGTTGGACAAAGGCTATGGAAGCAAATCCAAAAAGAAAAGCAGGCTGAAATCGGAGTCAATGGCCACAATGGCGCATAACCAGTTGACACGTAAACCTTATTTGTGATGGAAGCATGGTCGAGTCGGCAAAACTCATGGTTGATAAATTTGAAAAAAGTCTCGAGTTCAAACCCTCTGGGAGATAAGGCTCGATCCCTCCCAACACTAAAAATTAAGAACGAAGAAGAAAAAGAAGACTCTATGTTGAGATGAGGACTTCAACTAAAATCCTACTTGGCATCGAACCGCTGTCTTCATAATGTTCCAATCCT